GGGGTTAATATACAGAATATAAAAAGAACTCATATAACTCAATAGCAAAAAAAAATCTGATTAAGTATTATTCAGCCTTAAAGAAAGGAAATCCTACCATTTGTAATAACCTGGATGTACCATGAAGGCATTATGCTAAGTGAAATAAGTCATACAGAGAAAGACAAATGCTGCATGATCTCACTTTTATATAGAATCTAAACGAAAACAAACACAAAATAACCTCATAGATACAGAGAACAGATTGGTGGTTGCAGGAGGCAGGGGTCAGGTGGGGAAGGCGGGTGAAGTGGGTAAAAGGGGTCAAAGGTGCAGACTTCCAGTTACAAATAATTCATGGGGAGGTAATGCACAGTATGGTAACATAGTTAATAACACTGTATTGTACATTTGAAAGTTTCTAAAAGAGCAGATCTTAAAAGTTATCATCACACACACACAAAATTACAACTAAGCATGGTGATGGATGTTAACTAGATTTATTGTGGTGATCATTTCTTTCTCGCTCTATATATACAGGTGTTTTACACCTGAAACTAATATGCTTTATGTCAATTATATCTCAATTTTTAAAACAAGCACCGCAAGTCAGACTGCTCATCCTTTTCTTCACTAAGGTGTTATATTTTCAAATGTGATGTGACAACTTAGAGAGTGAAGCACATTGTGGGAGAAACCATTTTGACTTTTCAGTGTTTACTAAAGTATTTTAGATGAAAAAAATAATTAAAGCATTTTATCAGATTTTTGTTTTTAATTTTTTTTTCTGTATAGTTTCATGCCAATGTAGTTTTCTAATGAAAGTTATAGACTCTGAATGGTGTATTTTTAAATCTTTCAATCTCTGAGCTCTCTGAAATTTTGCTACTTGGCAAGGATGGTCACGTCCTGTCATTTGATTTACATTTTCAACAATTAGAGAGTTAAAAAAACTTTATTTTGTAGACATAGGTTATCATTAAAATTCAGTTGACCCAGTTAACTCTGATTTTTATATTTTAAATTTATTATTTAAGAGGTAAGATCTTTACTTGGTGGTAACCCAGGTACGGAATTTTTTTTTTTTTAAGGGCTTCAAATGCTTGGCTTTCTTATTTATTTATTTATTTATTTATTTATTTATTTATGGCTGTGTTGCGTCTTCATTTCTGTGCGAGGGCTTTCTCTAGTTGTGGCAAGCGGGAGCCACGCTTCATTGGTGCGTGGGCCTCTCACTCTCGTGGCCTCTCTTGTTGCGGAGCACAGGCTCCAGACGTGCAGGCTCAGTAGTTGTGGCTCACGGGCCTAGTTGCTCCGTGGCATGTGGGATCTTCCCAGACCAGGGCTCGAACCCGTGTCCCTTGCATTAGCAGGCAGATTCTTAACCACTGCGCCACCAGGGAAGCCCTGGAATTTTTAAAATAATAAAAACATTCCCATTAGCTATCTGTTTTATACATGGCAGCGCACATACATCAATCCCAGTCTCCCAATTCATCCCACCCCACACTGTGTCCACACGTCCGTTCTCTACATCTGGGTCTCTATTCCTGCCCTGCAAATAGGTTCATCTGTACCATTTTTCTAAATTCCACATATCTGTGTTAATATACGATATTTGTTTTTCTGACTTACTTCACCTTTTAGGGCAGACTCTAGGTCCACTGCCATGTGTAAAACGGATAGCTAGTGGGAACCTGCTGTATAGCACAGGGAGCTCAGCTTGGTGCTCTGTGGTGACCTAGAGGGGTGGGATTGTGGGTGGGGGTTGGGAGGGAGGTCCAAGAGGGAGGGGATATATGTATACATGTAGCTGATGCACTTCGTTGTGAAGCAGAAACTAACACAACATTGTAAAGCAACTATACCCCAATTAAAAAAAAAAACAGTTTATTTAAAAAAATATATTCTCTGGCCATGTTTCAAAGGTATCCTATTTGAGGAGATTTTTTTCCTCCTTTTAATAACTATACTGATGTGCTTCTGAACTTTTAAATAAAGTTTTAATTTTAAAATATTCAACTTACATGGCTATAATATAAGAACAGATTTGCTGACATCTTTTGTCTCTTATTCCCTGGTCTTTGGTACTTTTTGTCTTTTAAATATTCCTTTACTGTAATTTTAATGATTAAGAAGGAGCAGATATTCATGCATATATACTCAATAGTTCACATTTATCCAGAAGCCACCTCATAACGTTTTTCTTACTGTTTATTGAAAGTAAAGCACAGACACTAAAAACTATATAAAACAAATGTATATCACAAACAGTTATAAGATAAACACTCTTATAACTACCACACAGGTCAGGAATAGAACTGCCAGTTATTCCCAGAAACTTTTATGGATCCCAACCCAGCTACAAGCCTATCTCTCCTCCAATAAGTAAGCAGTTCCTCTTTTTTCTTTAATGGCTTATCACTCGGGTGTACATCTTTTAAAACTGTAGCTTAGTCTTGTTTGTCTTACTCTTGTGTCTTTCAGTCTACAAGTTCTCCTTCCATTGCCTTTTCCCCACTTTATAATTTAATTGTTGAAGATCCCCAGCCATTTAACCTGTAGAGATTCCCACAGCCTGGATTTTGCTGATTATAGTCTCATGGTGTAGTTAAGCATGTTTCTCCCTCTGTGTTTCCTGCAAATTGGTAGCCACATATAGAGGCCTAGCCAAGGTCAGTTTTGCTTGTTTGTTTTTGGCAAGCCTATGGGTGATATTGTGTTCTTTCATTAGGAAGCACAAAATGTCTATCATCATTCTGTGATGTTAGTTAACAGTTGTGATTCCTCAACTCCCTACATACATTAGATCATTTAGGGGATTGCAAAATGGAGATATTCTTGTTCTTTCACTTCTTTCTCATTTATTGGCTGGAATACATCCCCTAATCTACTATTTGGTTAGTTGTGTTATTTTATGTATAGAAAAGGTGGAATAAATGCTTGATTCTTCACCTTTGTCTACCAGTTTTGGAAATAATGAGTTGGCTTTCTTTCGTCTGCTAAATGTGAATAATTTTTTGTTGTATCATTTTGAACTTCTGAATTTAATCATATTTGACCTGTTGCAATCCATTGCAATTTTTGTCCTTACTGAAGTTCATATTGTCCCATTTCTGGCTGGTGAAATCCTCTTCAAGCTCCCAGAGTTCTTTTAACATGACTCCAGGTTTGATACCTTTTACAACTTGGTTTCTAGTATGACAAGGTGTTCCAGGCTCAGCTGGAGAATGGACAGGAATTATGAATTTATCTATGAGGATGCTGTGAACCAGTGGTTGTAAACTGGTATTGAGGGGCCAAAAGTAGCCACCAGCCATGTTGTCCCTTTTTATTGTCAAAAGAAACAAATCATAATTCAAGAGCAAAAAAAATCAATTTTTTTAGCATTTACTATGTGCCAGGTGTTGTACTAGTTTCTGGGAATATGGTGGTTAATAAGAGATAAAGCTGCCCTCAGGGAATTTACAATCTGATGAGGAAAACAATACAAGCCAAAACACTATCAAGTAAACTTGTAGGATCCTAGGATGGTGTGAGTCTTAGAAGGGTCCTAACTCAGGGTATTGTAGGTCAAAGAAAGATTTGCAAGTAATATATTATTTAATCTCCTATTTAAAACTTAAGTGTTCCAGGTAAAGAAAGATAAGGGAAAATTACTCAAGGCAGAGAAAGTATAGATGAACCTGATTTCCTTTAGTTAGAAAAGCCATCAGCATGTCTGTATTAAACATATTCTGTTCCAAAACTTCCAGAAATCTGATCCTGTGTCCAGTCTTTCTGTTACCACTGCCTTTTCTCCTGCCAGAAACGACCACAAGTAATATTTTTCTCCACAGAATCCAAGTTTTAAATTGGAGTCATTTCTGTCCTAATCCAGACTGGATAAGTTGGTATCACTTACTGTTGATTTTTTCTTTTTTTCCAAGCTGAGTTTTCCAGAATCAACCTTGCTATTCCATCTTATTTGTTGGCATTTTAATTACTATAATATTTACCCCTCCAATGAACTGTCTTTTCTAGCTGACATTCATACTTAATTGTAGCCTTCTTTACTTTTAAAGATGTGATTCTTGTACTTATCCTACTTTTTATTCCTTTGTCCACGTCAGAAGGAAACACTGAAACAGCTTATCTGTGACAAAATACAAGGAAAACTATAATTATTAGCTTATTATCAATATTGAAACTGATCATGATGAATTTCATTCTAATGTATTATTTCAGTAAGAATATCGATCTAACCATTTTGGAGCAACAATGTTGGCCTTTTCTCAGCACAGATTTTTCTGACACTTTGGTCCATTTCTATTTCTTGAGAAAACTGTTTTAGACTGCTAAAGTATAATTTCCGAAAAGGTAAAATTATGATTTTCAGGCAAATATGAAGTAAACATGGGTCAGAGATTTTATTCAACTTGTTAATTAATGATGGAACCAGTAAGATGTTAATACAAATTCAAAGAACATTGAGCTATTTATAGGCAGTTGAATATGGGAATGTTGGAATAAGATAGTTGAGTTCAATACAAAACTGATTAGTATCCTGTATGTTAAGCTATATAACCTTTGGGGTTATTGTTTTTTTCACCAAACAGAAGAATTAGCATATAGTTAGTAAACAGTGAGTCTAACAAAGTACATTCCCCTAATCCTTGGGTGGCTCTGTGTCCCATATGACACTGAAAAGACCTGTTACATATTTTTTTGCCTTTTTTTCAAGTTGTGAATGATTTTGAATAAAATTCCAAAAATCTCTTAGATTGGATTAGAGAATTTTCTTTGGGTCTGAGGATTGTTCATGAATAATTGATGAAGTAAGCTCTGTTTTAGTATACTTAGTAAGTTTTGTATTCTAATGTCAGACAACTGCCTAACGATTAATCTTTAATATTGAAGTTTTGAGGAGAATAAATCATTTTTATTGGACATCAAAGAAAGGTAAAGGGAATTTCTATATACTTAATAGATTTAAAGTAATTTGCTATGGAATAAACTCTCTAAATTTTTATGTTCCCTAGGGTTTTCCTGGAGATATTGGGATTCCTGGACAAAATGGCCCTGAAGGATCAAAGGTAAGGAATAAAAAAAGAAAAAGAAAAACAGAAGAAGAAAAATGTATGGTATCTATAGTTTTCTAATGTCAAATCTCAATGAATGGGTAAAAAAATATTTTAGAAATATCAGAACATTTCTGGATATTTTTGAGCTGACTCAGTGCATTTAAAAAACCTTGTACAGCTTGTTTTGAGATAATCAGGAAGTAGTTTGCGTGTCTGGTTGTTCCTTTGGTATCATTTGTTTAGTAGGAGTATGTTTATACAGCCTCTTGGGTTCAGGTCATTGAAAATGATTTTCCTGGTTTGGTCTAGACTTAGATTAGGGTGACAGTATTTGCAAAGCACATAAATAACTGAAAGAAACGATTTCTTATAAGAGGTGAAAAAAATTTTAAAAACCCCAAAACCTATAGCCTACACTAAATGGATGAGAGTTTTCTGACCACTAAAACCCTTTAGGGCCTATTAAATATCCACTGATTAAAATAAAAGGAAGCCTATGGTGTTCTGGAATTTATACATAGCACAAACTACCTGCAGAAACCTAATCATTTCTAACTTCCTTTACTGTTGTTGTGTATGTATACTAGAAATTATCCATAGAAAACCTGTAAATACCAAGCTTTGCCAAGCAGGCTGACATAGAATGAGCACTGTAAACAATTGAAGTGTTGTGAATAGACACAGAACAGTGAAACAGCCTGAAGTTTGGAGAACTGGCAGGTTATGAAGTATAGCTGCTGTGGAAGGTTATTAGTGTGAGTAGAAAGGAAGTGTTAGGGGATGAAGCTGGAAGGGATATTAATATAGCTATATTTGTTAGTGTACTATAGTGTCAAGTACTACAGTACTGTAGTAAATGTTTTACAGATATCTCATTTAATCTTCACAACAGCTTTATGAGGTAGATTTTATCCCCATTTTATAGATAGTTAAGTTATTCCCTCAGTCACATAACTATCAGGTGACTTAGTCAGGATTCTCACCCAGACATGATTTCAAATTCTGAGCTCTTAACCACTTAGTTTGGGGATTAAATTGTGGGGAAGGTTTAAGACCATGTTGAAGAGTTCCTACTTCTACCATGGGCATCATGGAGTAATCAAAGATTTTTAAATAGTAAAGTAATCTAGGTGATTTATGTTTTAAAAAAGATACCTCTTATGTCAGCATGGAGGATGGTTTAACAAGAGAAAAAATGAAGGCAAAGAGATGAGCTAGAAAAAGCTAGAAAAGAAGTTATAAAGATCTGAAGTGAAACAGAACATTCATTCAATCAACAAATATTTGCTGGCTGCCTCTTATGTGGCAGCCATTGTGCTAGACCCTAGGGCTACAAAGATGAAAAGTCCTGCTTCCTACTTTCAAGAAACTTACAATCTAGAGAAATATATGCAGGAAATCCTTTATAATAACCATGTGAATAACATATAATATGTGATACTATGTGAGTATATGGTTAGGGGACTCAGATTACACTTTGTAGAGAAGGTAGCACTTGAGCTGACATGATGAATGAGTCAGAATTTGCAGACAGACAAGTAAGATATATGGCATTCAGGAAAAGGAAACTTGTGAGAGGATGAAGATGCAGTATTTGGAACACATTTGTACTAAAAGTTATTCATTCTTTATGTGAAATTCAAATCTAACTGGGCATCCTGTGTGTTATCTGAAAACACTACTGGCCACCTAACAACTCTCCCTGTACATATTCAGCCGTATTTCCCCCTCCCTTTCTGTCTCCACAGAAAAGTTATTCCTCCCCCTCCCCAGTATTCAAATTTCACATATGTTTTGTATCAAACCCTCTCCTGACCCCTGAATGACCTCATGCTATCAATTATCACCTTTATCCTGATCTCTCCTTTGACTCAAAATTTCCTATCTTTGCTCTTGAAACCATTTTCACTGCCAATGTTTTAGTTTAGGCCCTATTTATTCTTCACCAGGATTAGTGTAATAGCCCTCTAATTGTTCTTGCCACCATTCTGGCATTTCTTCAAATCTACATCCAAACTACTGATGTAATAATGTTTGTAAAGTATAGATTTCATCATGTCATTCTTGTACTTAAATTCTTCAGTATCTCCATAGCTTCCAGGTTAAGGATTATAGTTCTTTACTTTTTACACAAGGTTCTTTATGACCTACTCTCCCTTTCTAACTCTGTTGTCATCTAGTCCCATCTCCCATTGCTCTTTCAAAAGCGTTACTCCAGGTAGACTATTTAGAGTACCAAACCATGCCATACTTGTTCAAATATCACAGCTTCCTGCATGCTGTTTTTTTAATCTGGATCTGTGCCCTACTTATCTAGCTAACACCTACACATCACATGCCACATTGTCCAGGAAGCTTTTCCTGTTCCTCTGAAATCTAATTGAGTTGTCTCTTCTCTGTATTCCTAAAAAAATCTATCAAGCACTTATCTTCATATAACTGCTGATTTGCTTATCTCTCTATTAGACTATAAGCTTTATGAGAAGGACACTAATTGGTTTTATACATATCACAATAACCATGATAATATCCGTAGCACATAATAGGAACATAATAGATATTGGCTGAGTGGATGATTGATTGAATGACTATTTAAAAGCTAATTCAGAAATAGAAACAATGCAACTTGGTAACTGAATAAATGAAGGTGATGGGAGAAAGAGAAGTCAAAGATAAAACTGGGACTATGATTTGGGTTACTGATGTCATTGACTTGACTAAGGAACTCAGAAGGAGGAGCAGGTTTGGAAGATGGGGAAGACAAGAAATTTGATTCTGGGTATATTTAGCTTGCGGTATCTGGTTGACGTCGAGACAGAAATAATCAATATCTAGTCGTAAACCAAATCCCAAAGTAGAAATAGTAGCATGAATGGACATTGAGAGAGAGAGGTAGTATAGAGAACTGAGTTGAGAATTTCTCATGTGTAATTTAGCCCCTTACCTGCTGTATACTTAGGAACTTGAACTTGATGCATATATAAACACATTCATTTTTCCATTCATTCAGTAATTCATTCGTTTAACATTTATTGAGTTTCTTTTATGTTTTAGCCCAAGTACTAAATGTGGGTTGATAAAGATTTCTGAACTACGGTCCCTCCCCTTGATGAGATTACAGTTCAGAGAGAGGTTGGAAAAAAAAAAATCACAAAGTATTGTAAGACGTGCTATATAAAAGAGTTGGTGAAGGGCTATGAGAGCCTAGATAATTGAGCAACAGATTCTGCCTTAGGAAATTGGGAATTACTTCAAGAGGAAGTAATAATTGAACTTAATTTTTTTTTCTTCTGTAGGGTTTCCTAACTTTAAAAAAAAGTCATTGAAGTATAGCTAATATACAATATTATATAAGTTACAGGTGTACAACACGGTGATTCACAATTTTCTAAAAATTTAAAAAATTTTTAATTTTATATTGGAGTATAGATGATTAACAATGTTGTGTTAGTTTCAGGTGTACAGCAAAGTGATTCAGTTATACATATACGTGTGTCTATTCTTTTTCAAATTCTTTTCCCATTTAGGTTGTTACAGAATATTGATCAGCATTCCCTGTGCTATACAGTAGGTCCTTGTTGGTTATCTATTTTAAATATAGCAGTGTGTACATGTCAATCCCAAACTCCCAATCTATCCCTCCCCCCGACTTTGCCCCCCTGGTAACCATAAGTTCATTCTCTAAGTCTGTGAGTCTGTTTCTGTTTTGTAAATAAGTACATTTGTATCCTTTTTTTAAAGATTCCACATATAAGCGATATCATGTGATATTTTTCTTTCTCTGTCTGACTTACTTCACTTAGTATGATAATCTACAAGTCCATCCATGTTGCTGCAAATGGTGTTATTTCATTCTTTTTTAATGGCTGAGTAATATTCCATTGTATATATGTACCACATCTTCTTTATCCATTCATCTTTTGATGGACATTTAGGATGCTTCCATGTCTTGGCTATTGTGAACAGCGCTGCAGTGAACACTGGGGTGCATGTATCCTTTCAAACCATGTTTTTCTCTGGATATATGCCCAAGGGTGGGATTGCTGGATCATATGGCAACTCTATTTTTAAGTTCTTAAGGAACTTCCATACTGTTCTCCACAGTGGCTGTACCAATGTACATTCCCACCAGCAGTGCAGGAGGGTTCCCTTTTCTCCACACCCTCTCCAGCATTTATTGTTTGTAGACTTTTTGATGATGGCCATTCTGACTGGTATGAGGTAATATCTCATTGTAGTTTTGGTTTGCATTTCTCTAATAATTAGTGATGTTGAGCATCTTTTCATGCACCTCTTGGCCATCTGTATGTCTTCTTTGGAGAAATGTCTATTTAGATTTTTTGTGCATTTTTTGATTCAGTTGTTTGCTTTTTTGATATTGTGATATTTGATATTTGATATCATGAGCTGTTTGTAAATTTTGGAGATTAATCTCTTGTCAGTCACATCATTTGCAAATATTTTCTCCCTTCTGTGGGTTGTCTTTGGTTTTGTTTATGGTTTCCTTTGCTGTGCAAAAGCTTTTGAGTTTAATTATGTCCCATTTGTTTATTTTTGCTTTTATTTCCATTACTCTAGGATATGGATCAAAAAGATATTGCTGTGATTAATGTCAAAGAGTATTCTGCCCATGTTTTCCTCTAAGAGTTTTATAGTATCCGAACTTACATTTAGGTCTTTAATCCATTTTGAGTTTATTTTTGTGTATAGTGTTAGAGAATGTTCTAATTTCATTTTTTTTTTTACACGTATCTGTCCATTTTTTCCAGCACCACTTATTGAAGAGACTGTCTTTTCCCCATTGTGTAGTCTTCCTTCCTTTGTCATAGATTAATTTACCATAGGTGCATGGGTTTATTTCTGGGCTTCCTATCCTGTTCCATTGATCTATATTTCTGTTTTTGTGCCAGTGCCACACGTTTTGGTGATTGTATCTTTTCTTTTTTTTTTTTCAAAGAAGGTGTTGGGGGTAGGAGTTTATTAATTTATTTATTTTTGCTGTGTTGGGTCTT